GGGAGGGCGCGGCTGGGATGCGCGGGGCGGGGGGGGAGTCCTGGGGGAGGCTCAGGAGCCAGGGCCTGCCTGACACCTGCCCCACCTGATGTCATCCTCGTTGGCGAAGATGATGATGCCCCGGGCGTTGGGGGTCTCCATGAGCCTCTTGATCACCTTGTTGAATTCTCCCGGCTTTGGCTCCCTGGGGATCTTGATGGACTGGGCGATACAGACGCCCCCTGGGTGTCGGGGATGCAAAGGTCAGGTCTCGCAACACCTCCCCACACACCCACCTGGCAGCCACTGCCTGTGACCCCGTGACCGGCATTCAGGGGTCTGGTGAGGGGCCTGGGAGGGGAGTGCAGCCTGCCAACCCCCTGCCCCCGGGCAGCTCAAGGCAGAAGTGAGTCCTCAAAGGAAAGGGTCCCCTGGCCCGGCGCAGCCCTGAGCCCTCGAGGGCCTGCTCACGCCAGCGCTGGCTCCCTTTGCTGCCCCGACCCCAGCTCACCAGCCTCGCGGGAGATCTGCACAAAGGCCTCCACCCCGCTCTCGCCATAGTTGCCCTCGGAGGCCAGTGTGGACACGTAGTTCCACCCCAGTGCCCGGACGATGTCCACCATGGCCTGGGCCTGGTAGGAGTCGGGGGGCACCACGCGGGAGAAGAAGTCGTAGCGGGTGGAGTCGCTGAGCTCCGGAGCCGTGGAGGCGTAGCTGATCTGGGGTATCTGGAGGGAGGACGCAGGCTGTGGGTGTGGTCGTCAGCCTGAGCGCGGACAGGCAGGGACTCGGGGCACGTGAGGCAGAGGCGTGGGTAGGGACTGGAGGAGCAGCCGGGGCAGCCACACAGAGACAGAAATCTTGGGAACGGGGCCTGGGCGTTCTGCACAGGACAGGGCGACCCACCGGCTCTGTGATCTGTGACCCGACAAGGGCCGCAGAGCAAAGGCACCTGGCCGAGGCCGGGGGCTGCCTGTGGGCCTGGTGGACCCTACCCTAGGACATCGGAGCGGGCTGAAGAGGGGGTGTTTGGCTCAAGGCTGGGCCCGCCTAGTGAGGGGCCTGTTTGAAACGCAGTAGTGCCATCGGCTTCAGGATTATCTGCCCCACCAACCGGGAGGCGTGGGGGTAGCAAGCGCAACAGGACGGGAAGACAGCAAGGATGCAGGGGAGAGGCTGCTGAGGGCAGAGGGGTCCGATCACGTCAGAGACGCTGAGGCCCGCAGGCGGGGGGTCGCTGGACTCCCACGCGGGCGTGCGGTGCAAGCCCCAGACCCTGCATCTTCAAACTCACACTGGGCATGTGCGTGCCCAAGATCCTGAGAGGAGAACGGAGGAGAAGGAAGGATTGCAGAGTGGCCATCCCCCCAGGGGGTAACATCTCGCTTTCTGTCTCTCTCTGGCAAGGGCATGCATTCTGTAGCAAAAATCTCTTTTAAAAAGAAAGAAAGACACCATAGAAGAGGACGAGGGTGGGGAGGGGGACATGAGCTTTTCTCTCTCAGTTACGAGTTAGCGGCCAGTGTCTGCAGCACAGCTTGGATGGGCCGAACTGAAGGCAGCGGGCCTAGGTGCACCGGGTCCTGCTTCTCCCAACTGAACACCTGGTCTCCGAAGTTCCTTGAGTTTGAGATCTCTGCACCAAGGGACGGGGACAGGGAGACAGGGACCAGAGCCCCAGGCAGGGCCAGGGCCAGAGCACAGACAGCCCCATGGACACAGAGGGTGAGAACACACAGGCAGGCATGTCTGTGTGCAGTGTCCCATCATGCTGCTGGGGGCCTGTGCGTGTGTTGGTGACCTGGAGGGGAAGGGCAGCGCGTGGCATCTCTGAGCAGAGAGCTCTGCTCCTCCCCGGGCTGCCAGGCGCACAGGCAGCCCCCTGGGGAGGTAGGAAGGCCTGCTCTCCTCCAGGGCAGCGGCAGAGGCAGCTGGCTGGGCGCCTGTGTTCTGCGGCCCGTGTCAGGACACAGCTCACACCGAGGCCGGTGGGCTGCCCTTCCCTGGGCCTGCCTCCTATACTCACAGGATGTGCAGAACGCCCAGACCCATTCACGAAACGTGGGGGTGACAGGGGACCCCTCTCCTCCCAGAACTCCAGTAAACAGCTCCCAAAGCCCCCCTACCATGAGTGACTGCTACAGAAAACCCCCAAAGCCTAATGCCAAAGGCCCCAATTCCGATTCCTACGGCCCCTGATGATTACCCCGGGGGCCCCAAGGAATGTGCCACCCTCACAGGATAGCTCGGGCAGGGTGCTAGCGATCTGGGAAGGCCCGCAGTCCCCTCTCAGGCCCCTTGAGGCAGGGTTAAATGCAGACATTTTGAAATGGAATTAATGGAGGAGAAGGGATTGTGGACAAACACCCCCCCCCCACACACACACACACGCTATTTATCGCTTTCTCTCTCTCCATCTCTATCTCTCCAGCGATCACAAGCACCCTATAGCAAAAATATCTCTCGCTAATAATAATCAGGGCGCAGAAAGTGGTGGTGGTTAAGGGGGCTAGCCATGTGGGAGTCCCCGACCCGGCGGCCTGCTTTCTCACTTTCCTTCTCTCTTGCTCTCTCGCTCTGTTTCTCTCTGGTCGAATTAAAATAAATAAGGTTTTAGAAATTAATCATCAAGGAGGAGAGCCTGACCGGACCTCCCGGCGTCTCCCCCTCCTCCAGAAGCGAGGGCAGCCTGGGCCCTCCTTTCAGAGGCGCTCAGGGACTACTCAGAGCGCCCCATGGAGGTCTCCACCCGGCCCTGGGGCAAGAAGACCCGACCTGCGACCTGCGGTAGGCTGCCCCGCGCCCCCAAATGGGGACACTGCATAGGAAAACAGATCCTGGGGGGCCAGGCCGCCAGGCAATGGGTCTGCTGGGCAAGAGGCACCCTGGTCAGGCCGGATTGACCCAGACGTGCCACAGCCCGCAAGGGTGGCAGGCAGAGCAGGCAGCCAGTCGGGGCGGTGGGCTGGTTCTGGCGTGCGGTCCTGCGGCGCAGCTTTTAAATGCGCGAGTTAGAGTGACTGAAGGAGAGAGCCTTCAGAAGAGGCCAAGGAAGCCCAGACGTCGACCACTCCAAGAGCGAGGACGGGAGAGAGGTTTGGAGGCAGACGCGCCCACGGCCCTCACCGCGAACAGGCGCAGCACGTTGGCCACCATGATGGAGACCGAGCTGGCCGAGGCGCCCACGACAGCCACGACGCGCTCGGGGGGCGCGGAGCGCAGTGGGGGCACTCCCCCGGGGCAGCGCACGCTGGCCTCGTCGTCGTCGCCGCGGCCGCGGATCAGAGCCTGCACGAAGGTCAGCGCCTGCTCCAG